GACAGAGGGGACAATGGGCTATTGCTGCGTTGTCAGTTGTCATATCGATAATATTTATTAATACATGAAAATTGCAATAAAATTTCCTTCATTTTCAAGTAATAATAAATATTATTATTGATATGACAACGCAGCAATAGCCCATTGTTCTTTCTGTCTATTCAGTAGTCGTAGCTCAAGAACCATGCAACGGACTATAGGTACAGCGTGTTTCACGAACATCGAAACAAAGGCGTTTTACGGTATTGCATTTTAAGGTCGATTTATGAAAAACGCTCGGTCACATCATTTTTGTATTCAAGGGGGAAATTTTTTGACCCCAATGGTATTTCGCTAGAGTGCAGCCCCTGGCCTGGACTTTCACCCCTGTTTTTTAGATAGGGAAGATGGTTTGAGTGGTACCTTGTTTTAAAGGTATTTCGATTCTCGTCACACTCACTCGTTCACTCACTCATCACGAGATCTCCAAATCTATATGCCCGCTTGACTTAAAATTTGGAATATTTACTCATTTCTCGAAGTAGACACTCACTAAGAATGGATGTTATCGAACAGAACTCCTATCCAAAAAGGATTTTTCACACAAAAAAATCTTCAAAAAGTTCGATTGACAAATCAGTCTGAGAGTTTGCAAGGATACCAAACTACAAAGGATGGATTATCGGTCTAGATTCAGCGGTTCCCAACCGGTGGGTCGCGACCCCTAAGGGGGTCGCAATGGATTTTTGGAGGGGTCGCAATGCCAATTGCCAATATTGATATAATATTATATAAAGATTGAAGTGATAACAAAATGTTAGTTAATTTTTTACAATGAATTACATTACAATTACAATTAGAATTGTGAGATAGACTTTTTGTTCTCTTTCATTGTATTAATATCCATATATTTTTCTGCATTTGGCAACACGGCTTTTCCTCCGCCTCAACAGCCGCGCAGAGTTGCATTGGCCTTACCGGCGAAGCGCAAATCACAGGTTGTGTCACGTTGTGGTGACTCGCATTGCGCATCGCCGATTTGGAGCAACGGTCTGTTGTTAGCGTTTTCGCTAATTTCGTTTTGTAGATTTGTTTGTATTTGTGAACAGCTAGGTAAGTGAGAAATATATTTGCACAATACTAATTAGTAAGTTAATGCAATCTATAAATAGCTCCAGGAAATTAATTTTTTGAGGACTTAATATTTAATTTTGTGAAAAAGGGGAGAAAACAGTGAAGTTTTCCATGCAAAATTTTTATTGTTAATAAAGAGAGAGCGCTTTAGCCACAAGCCATCATCAGTGCTACCTGGAAAAGCAAGAAAAAAACTCCCTGAAACTGTAAAATCAATGTGTTTTTCCTTTTAAGAAATCAGCGTGATGGAGAGAAAAAAAAGAAAATACTCTGAGAATTATTTGAAGTTTGGATTTTCAACTGTTATTAATAATGGGATAGAGAAGCCGCAATGTGTGTTATGCAATGTAGTTCTCAGTGCTGAATCTATGAAACCTTCAAAGCTCAAACGTCACTTGGAAACAAAGCATTCCGAACATGTTTCGAAAGATTTAGATTTTTTTAAACGTTGTGAAACTCGCTTAAAGCATCAAAAACTGGATTTTACTGGAAATTTTCACCAACAAAGTCAGGCTGTACTCCAAGCATCATTTGAAATTGCTCTCGAAGTCGCTAAAAATAAAAAACCTCATACAATTGCTGAAAAACTTATCAAACCCTGTCTACTAAAATCAGTCAAATTGATTCTCGGAGAAGCGAGTGAAATGAAAATGCGTAATATATCTTTGTCAAACAACACAATTCAAAGACGCATTATGGATATGTCAGCAGATGTCTTGGAGCAAATTTTGTCTGAAATAAGAGCATCCCCTCTCTTTTCTTTGCAACTTGACGAGTCTACAGATGTAAGTTCATGTTCTCAGTTACTTGTTTTCGCAAGATATGTTCATTCAGACAATATTAAAGAAGAGTTATTATTTTGTAAAGCACTAAAAACCACAACAAAGAGTGAAGACGTAATGGAGATGATACGTTTATTCTTTGAAACTAATGAATTAGAGTGGAAAAAGTTGTGTGGAATTTGTACCGATGGAGCACCAGCTATGCTTGGATCGAGATCAGGCTTTCAGAAAAAAGTTAAAGAACTTGCACCCCAAGCAAAGGGCTTGCACTGTATGATTCACCGGTTTGCCCTTGCTACTAAAACTCTACCAAAGCCTTTGCAACAAGTGCTCGATTCTTTGATTAAAATTGTTAATTACATAAAGGCTAGTGCTCTCAACACCCGTCTTTTCAAAGAACTTTGTAAAGACATGAACTCCGATCATGAGACACTTCTGTTCTATACTGCTGTTCGCTGGTTGTCAAAAGGGAATGTTATTGAACGTGTATTTGAATTAAGGGACGAACTTAAAGCTTTTTTAGAAATGCAAGGAAAACAAGATTTCATAATATATTTTAATGATGCAGCTTGCATTCAAAGAGTTGCCTATTTATCGGACATTTTCGGTCAGTTGAACAATTTTAATCTTAAACTTCAGGGTAAGGACTTGCACCTTATCTATTTTAGAGATAATCTCAATGCCTTTGTTTCCAAGCTTGAAAACTGGCGACGTAAAGCAAATCTTGGAAACTTTGCAATGTTTGAACACCTATGCACAACGGCTGAAGCATCGGAAACGGGAATTGTGGAGAATCTTAAGGAGGAAATTGATTATCACCTTCAATCCCTTGGAAAGGAAATGCAACGTTATTTTCCCGAGCTTTCTGAAGAAGATGCTGCAGTAGTAAGGAACCCGTTTCATGCCTCGTTAGATGTTGCCGACGTTCCTGATGAAGTGCAGGATGAATTTTTAGAGCTGAGGAATGATTCCACTCATGCTCTATTTCAGGAAAAATCATTAACTGAATTTTGGTGTTCCATGCATCGTTCATATTCCAAAGTCGCTCTGCTTGCTTTCCGCATACTTATACCATTTGCCTCTACCTACCTTTGTGAAAGTGGTTTTTCAACTCTTTTACAAATTAAAACAAAGGCAAGAAATAGACTTGACGTTCAAGACGACATAAGGTTAGCTTTAGCAAATACACAACCAAGAATTTCAAAGCTTGTAATGCAGATGCAAGCTCAGTCATCGCATTAATAAAATTGAAATTTACTTTCGGTATTTAATTACGAAACATTAGTATTTATTTTATGTTAAAGATTTCTTGAATAAACCTTTTTTTATTTTGTTTTTTATTTATAAATGGGTCGGGGGTCGCGACCTTTTAAGCAAATCTGAAAAGGGTCGTAACTAAAAAAAGGTTGGGAACCACTGAGTCTAGATTTTTCAAATCAAGGTTATATGGTGTACTAGCACCGTTGCCGACGTCATAAAATGTATCGTCAGTTGTTTTCGCCAGCGGTCATAGTTAGAATATAAACCTCTAATGGAAAATGTTAATATATTTTGGCTAACCCAATAGGCAAAGAGGTAGATGCAAACGGGATCTAGGAAAAGCTTGTTTTAAATAGAATGTTGATTAATGTACTCAAAACCAAGAGCGGCCGCCCGACGAGAACACCGAAATTTGTTTGTGCTTACAAACGTTGATTGTTGTTAGATATATCGTAGTTAAAAAATTTTGTCTATGATAAAGTACATACTTTAAATTATTTATAGATAATCTGATTTCTTTTAAATTAAACGGCGGGTGAATTTTTTCAGTTTACCTATTGTAAGGAAATGAATGTTTCTACAGTTACCTTCCGTCCCTGGCGATGACTAGGTCAAAGGAAATATTGACTTCAGACAATTGTAGGTACTTTCACTCAAGTCATAAAGAATTTCGGAACGTCATTGATCCGAACGAAGACGCCTGAAATATCTGGTAAAAATGCCTAAATTCAGCTCACAAACAAGCAAACGTACCTGCAAGCAAACGGTAAATTACAAAGAAGAACAATACAGTTGAAAAACGACTGGTAGAGTTGGTGGACGAGAGCCTTAAGTAAAACCAGAGCCTCCTTCAGCGGCACAAAAGCAACATACGGTCCAGATTCCTTAGGATCTAGAGATGGGACTCAGCTTTCCGAAGGTCCAGCTTCTATTAATTCCCGATGCATATTTTGAAACTTAACCCTTTCACTGCTAAGTCTGAGTTTTTGGTCCTCTCCCATGTGCGCACAAATTCAAGCGCTGCGTTTTTATACGTCTGGAGCAGCATAGTTCCGTAGCGTATATATATATACGCTCATACTAAAAAGAGCCACGAACAAACAGTGTAAAAAAACCTAATACGGTTCAGATGCGATGGTGGGGAATCCTCCGCGTATTTATACGTCTGGAGCAGTCGAGAGATATATTGTTTTTTTTACAAAATATGGCTGTCACTCTAAATTTTTGATTTTGAAAATATAATATTGACAATATACAAGACTCTAGTATGGAGCAGTTATTGGATTCGCGTATATATACGTTTAGAGCAGCTAAAAGGTTAAACAGAGATTCCGACGTGTACGATGACGGCTTCAACAAAGTTTCTCCAAAAACCAACTCAAAACCATCTCGGTGACGTTCCTTCCAATAATATCATACACGCCTTAAAACGTTCAGTTGGTTTGGAAAGCTTGTAGATTACACCAGAGGATTTGGTACCTACCTATTTTCCAAATTTCCCCAAGGGCGTTATTCTATTTTTTTTTTAATTGTTCGTACGGAAACGGAGGCGGTGGTATGAGAGCGTAGAGGATTATTGACGCAAGAGCGTTGTCCTTTTCTTGCTGCGGTTGGATAAGCACGAAAAGCGGTGACTCAATAAAGGTACCTATGCATATATTCATCATTCAAAGACCATAGAATAGCAAATGGAAAAATACGGAAGGAGATTTTGTTCAATCTGTTTCCGAGATTGCTGCAATAATGAACCAATTAATGATTTGTTTGTGTGAGAGCGAAAGATAAATTTCTACAACATGCTAGCAATTGAAATAATGCGATTCCCATATAGGACCAGTGTTCTAGTTATAATAAAAGCACATTCTATTAAACCAAAATCAAATTACAAAGGTCTCTGTCCAGTCGTGGGCCCAGTATAAGGTCCCAAAGTGTCTCTAGCCTCGTCATTCAGTCCTTCTGCTTCCTCATCGGCCTCTTCTTCGGCGTCTTGCATCCTCGTCAGCTCCTGTAGAAAGACGATTTCTTCTGCCCTCACTATCATGTCGAGTACCGCCTCCCTCGCTTCCTCTTGCACGAATCGATGGTATCTCTCTTTGGCAAGTCGCTCCCTTTGTTCGTGTAACGAGTTCCATTCCGACTTTTTCACCTCCTCCGTTTGCTGGTTGTAGCGGTAGTTGAATAGCCAGTGTCCCAAGTAGTGCACAGGATCGCGCGGCTGTAGGGAAGTGATTTCTTTTAGGGCTTGCGTAAGGGGCCTTCCCAAATGATGTTTGAGGTAATGCGTGTCTTCGGTCGACTTCTCACTGTCGATCGAAGCCGACGAGGAGGCTTAAAAAAATTCCCGAATATTAATAATGGTGAGAATTTCATACATCTGTCAAAACTGGTATTCCAACAATAAATTGACATGTTTTGATTGTTGATTTGAACCAATCAGATTGTAATTACGCGATAATTTGCACTAGTGCAAATTATCAGATAATTGCATACTAACTGGTGCGAAAACTGGTGTTTTGACATTTTTTGACAAAAAATTTAAATTTTTGATTTATGAAATTCTCTCATTAAATACAACTCGTGCAATGGAAACATATTTATAATTTTCGACAAATTTGCACTCATGCGTTTTTAACTGAAAAAGGCACTCGTGCACTACGTGCATTCGGGCAAATTTCCCAAAAATTATCAATAATTTCCATTGCACTAGTTATATTACTATTGATAATTTAGAAATAATTGCTATGTGATATCCTAAACATGGGAGAGTCTATTATAGGCTATATTGGGACATTTTATAGAGAATTTATTCAAAGCTGCGTCGACGAAAAATTTAATAAAACCAGAAATCGTTATTTCCATTGTCAGCAGCCGGTATTTTTCACAGATGATTTTGTGGGATCTTTGAGAAAAAATTGGGCCCCCTTAACACAAGAAAAAATACTAAATTTATTTTCGAGCCCCAGGCCAGAAGTTTGAGGTGTTTTCGTTCGACGTTTCAAAGTCAATCGTGGCTGACGTGGAGCCTTTGAAAAAAAAAAAACTATTAATTATTGTGATATCCTAAAAATGCAAACCATTAAATCTCTTCTGAATTGTGCAGTAGGTCAAATATGATCAAGCTATTAGGTGAAAACACGACTTCACTTTTTCAATATTCCATGTCAAAGTTCTTACTGGATTCGTCCAAGTTGCCCCTCAATTCCCTCAGAACGTCTGTATCGAGTTCGTTGATCAGCTTCGACACTTTGGCTTTCTCGTAGCTGCTTTGTTGCCCACGGTCGGTGATGAGTTGTCCAGGCTTAAGCATTTTCAGGCTGCCCTCTTGCAGGATTTCTTAAATAAAACAAAAAGTTGCTCTAAAAGTTTATTTTTCCGTAAAAAGTTGGATCAGGAGCCGCAGGCGGTCTTCGATCAAGCAGAAGCACATACGCCTAAAGGCCCCTATGCTACCTGATATTTTTTCATCGGCGTGCAGCTGTTTCCAGCCGCAGGTTTGCAGTTGAGTGAATTTTTCGATGTCGGCCTCGAACGTTGCGACTTCCGCGGCGAATTTTGCGTCAACTAGTCGGGATTGCGAGTCTCCCAACGTGGACTTTTCGGCTTCGATCAAGACTAGCAGCTTGTTAAGGCCGTCTGTCATGTTGTCCAAGTTGTCGTCCATTAGGCGCGCTGCGCCCTCGTAGGCCTTTTGTGCATCCTAAAAATGTTGCGTTGACAAAAGTCCCTGTGGTAAATATTTTAGTGACTTACCAGCTTTTGTTCTTTGATGCACTCCAAATTTGTTTGATGGCTCTCTTCCAGCATCTCGATTTCGTCGTCGATTTCTACATGCTTTAATGCCAGACTCGAATCGTCTTGACCGGTTAGTGCCGCCCGTACGCATTCCTCCTTGCGCTCCTTTAGCTTGTCAATTTGATTGCGGAACTGGAACTGGATGTCGTACAGTTTGTAATCCAGTATGTTCGTTATTAGTTCGGTTTTTTCCACGATAGCCGCATGATTCTGCAGGCTTTTTTTCAAGCTTTCCAAATCCTGTACGACCACGTCGTGCAAATTCTGGATGTGACTGATGTCTCTGTAAAGAATAGAGTCATTAAAGCCAAACGAAAAAAAATGCTTACTCTGGAATCGAGAAATCATGGTTCAAGATCTTCAAACTCAGCAACGAAGAGCTCCGATCGAATTCTCGTTTGATTTCGTTCATTAAAATACCGATTTCATCTGCGGCGCTCATATTTACGATAATAAAAATGACTATTTACCTGTCAAATAACGCAACCAGCTCTTCCTGCTGGACAATAGACACTTTACCTCCAGTCAGTTGTTTGTAGTTTCGTATTTTACGTTTGGTCTCTTCGATTTTTGTGACAATTTGCATTTTTATTTTAAACAAGACTTGGATTGCTTCATTGATGGAGGTATTATTATTAATTACTGCAGAGATTTTAGGATTGGGTGCCATTTGACTTTGAAGGTCATTGTGACAACTTCAATATGAACTTCAAGTGCGAACCAAACTTGCTGCTATCCGGTAATCACAACGGCTGGAGACACAATGACAAATACAAGGTACAGTCGCGGCCATTGAAATTGGCACACACTTCAAAAACGCACCTCGTATTGCATCAAAATCTGATAAAAACTATAACCAACAAAAGTGGTCAGTGGCGTGTGTAATGTTATGTCCACCAAGTTCAATTTTAGACCCGATAAAAAATAAAAAATCCTTTTGTATCTAGCCTAGTGAAAACTAACTCCTTACAGAAAATGTTAATATTTGGTAGTACCACCATTTTTATCAACTACTGTTTGCAATCTTCGTGGCATTGAGTAAATTGAATTACGAAAATTGTAGTTGTTTGTTTATAATGTTAAAGCATACCAATAATTGATTATGCACTTTTAAATCTTGTTTCGAAGCAGGTCTAAATTTTTTTCTTATCTTAACATGATCTTAATACATGCTGGAACGTAAAATTATCTCCAAAGCGTTCATTAGCGGATGGCAGCATCACATCTCCTAATTATGAATATCTCGCGTCAGACGTCCATCAATAAGATAAATCTGCCCTGGACCCTGGACCTTTAGCACTTATACAGGTCCTTGCCTGGACAGAAAATCTTCCGCTAGACTGATTAAAATTGGATGTAGTCCTCCTCATACCTGGGTTCATCGTGGCCTATAAACATTTAATGTTGAGCTACTATTGCATGACTGAAAAACTTTTTCGTCAGAGAAAACTATATTGCTCCAGAAATTTTCAGATTCTTGAGAAAATAACTGGGCAAGCTGTAATCGGCACTGCCTATTTCTTTGCACTGAAAATGGTTTACGTGCCGCTGAAAGACATTTGATACCAGTTTCCTTAATACGCCTTCGCGCAGTTTTAACTGAAGCTAGTCAACTTTTTGGCTCTAATTTCCGAAATAAATGGATATGAAACGACCTCATCAAGAAGAGATTCATCCTCTTGTCGAATTGTTTTTCTCGGTCGTCTTCCTCGTTGTAGGTTCGTGTTTCAACGGTTTCAGCCCATTTTTTCTTCAAATTCATAATTATACTACTTCCACAACCAAGGATTAAGGCGACTGCACATATAGTTTTCCCTTGTGAAATCATTAGAATTGCTTTCGCTTTTTTATCGTTGGTTAAAATATGGTACTTTTTTTTTTCAATCTTATTTAAAAACTTAATAAAACTGTTCTAGTTCGCCACTGACTCTGTGCACTGACTTATCACTTTGACACAATTTTGGCATTACCGGCTTGTTGAAAAAGTCAGATTTTGATGCAATACGAGGTGCGTATTTAAAGTGTGTGCCAATTCCAATGGCACAAACTTTAAAAACGCACCTCGTATTGTACCAAAATCTGACAAAAACTATAACCAACAAAAGTGGTCAGTGGCGTGTGTAATGTTAAGTCCACTTCACTTCAATTTTGGACCCAATGTCATTGTTTGGACCCCAACTAAAAAATAAAAAATCCTTTTGTATCTAGCCTAGTAAAAACTAGCTCTTTACAAAAAATTTTGATATTTGGTAGTACTTACCTCCATTTTTATCAACTACTGCTTGCAATCTTCGTGGCATTGAGTAAATTGAATTACAAAAATTGTAGTTGTCTGTTAATAATGTTGAAGCATACCATTAAATGATTATGCACTGTTTTAAATCTTGTTTCGAAGCAGGTCTAAATTTTGTATTGTAATTTTTTTTGTAAGGTAGGTCCAAATATTTACGCTCTTAACATGATCTTACATGCTGGAACGTAAAATTATCTCTAAAGCGTTCATTAGCGGATGGCAGCATTACATCTAATTATGTATTTGTCGCTAGTCAGAAGTCCATCAATAAAATAAATCTGCCCTAGACCTTCAGCACTTATACAGTGTAACAGTCCAAAATTGCATAAATAATTCTTACCTACTTTCAATTTTATATTCAAGATTTCCTTAAGTTGTTCAACATTTTCTCTCAATTTCAATTTCATCAATAATCTCAACGGTTGTGGATCCTGTAAATTTCCTAATTTTCAATAGTCAAATTCTATTTGCTGTAATGGTTTTTCCTCATTTTAATCCATGATTTAATTCAATTTCAAAATCAAAACAAAGCAATATTTTGATTCCGATTTTAAATTCGAACATCTGTTTTCATAACAAAAATAATTAATTCATTTGTCAAAAATATTTCGTGGGTGGTGTTCCGAAATCATATTGACCCGTTTTCAAGTGGATGTACAGAACTACTCCGTTCGTACTAACTCTGTTCGGTTATCGAGCGCTATTGATCTCGGAGCAAATTCTAGCGAACCCCGGGTCGATCATTGGTTCGATGGTCTGTCAATATTTTATGCATTATCCTTGCGTTCGGTTTTTTGACTTTTGATTGTCAAAAATCTCTGTCAACCGGCAGTCGATTAGTAATGTTTTCAGTATCGTCGATTCTTCTTTGAGCCCTCTAATTTTGCAAACGGAACACTTACTCTATTTTGTATTCTTCAAGTTTTGATTGTTTTATGGGATGATTATTTGTTGTTAATATCATTATTCATCAGCCGTTGTTATTTTTCTCGGATTATATTGTTGTGTGCAATTTTTGGTAAATGAGACTTCTATCGATTGATCTTTGACGTTTGTCGTTATTCTGCATTATCTCTGAATCTACCTTTAGGCTAGCTCCTTGATTGAATGTGCAGCACTTTTCCTTTCACGTTAACTGTTTTGAAGAAGCAAGTCCTCCAGAAGAATTAATTTTTTTTCTTCACCTTAAAAAGGGATTTTGGGCCTGATTTTCTTCTGAATTGAATTTATGGCACACTGAGTTATCTTGCGTTGTGTTTTACTTTCGTAAAGTGCCATAATTTTCGCCGATGTTATCGGATTTAAAAAAAACAGTCATTTGTGGTAAGTTGCTTGCACGTTTTTTTCCCAATAGAAGATTCTGACTTTTTCCATTCAATTATTAGTTGAAAGCTGCCCTAAAGAGTAGAGAATAATCTCACTCACTCCAGGATATTCAATCCAGACCTCGATCCAGATTTCCGGAGATTTTCGAGGCAAACGAGCCCTATTTCCATCAGGTAAAAAAATATAACCGTATTAACAATTTTTGCAAACTCGAGACACATTTTTCCTAATTATTATCAAAGCTTTATTGTGATTTCATCCAATTGAATTAATTAATACATTATTGTTCAATTTTTCTATTAAAATAATTTCCAAGAGCTATAGTCTTTTATCAAGTAAATTTGCTATTGGAAACTAATTGTATTACATTATAGTTTCATTTTCTAATTCAATTTATTCATGAAGTGCTTCGCTATTGGTTCAATTACAAATACAGTGTGTATAACAATTTTTCTCTTAGGGTTCTTTAGCGAGGGGTTGTACTTTACCATCAAGTTTACCCTCACGGTTATACCAATAGACGTTCAATTGTAACCGAAATTGAACCAAAAGGCTAACAGACACCAGCCTAAGTAATTGGACGGTTACTCGAGTCTTCAACCAAGTTAACCACAACCAGTAGCCAGGACTAATCTGGTTAATTGTAAGAACAACCATCACCTGGAACATTTCGGTATCGTACTAGTTCTAGTTATCCTGATTATTATTGTTTATTTACATTCTGTCCCTATTTGTACACCACGGTGATCACCTCGGTATTTCAGGGAATAATTCATTGCTTGGCCCCAGTGTGGTGAACGAATTATTAAATAGGTAACTTAACTAGGCGTAACCTGTTGAATTTATGTCAACCTACTGGTAGTTCTGGTTACATAAGTGTAAAATAACCGCTCCAATTTATTATTCACTCATTTATTTTTTTTATTTTTCTCTTCAATTTATATTAACAACTTTTCTATTTATACCTTTTTTTTTATTATTCATTTGGGTTATTGAGTTTCAATAACATATTTTTGCATTTAAATTTAACTGTTCAGGACTATAGTAATTCTTTCACCAGTATAGCATTTCTGTATTTGTTGGTTGACACTTCATGACAAGGTCATTTTATTAATTATTCATTTACTTGATTATTATTATTATATTTTTTTATGTCAATGCCCACATCGTTTCATTGTGGATTTGATAAATAAACAACTGTAGCACTTGATTTGAATTGACTTTTATTGGGTTTTATGCACACAGCCTGGTTATTGCTAATATTTTTCTTTTTTTTTTATAATTATTATTTGAATTGTAAGAACCTGAAGCCAGATACCATCCTGGAGAGTCCGACTCATCTGTTCAGAGTCGGTGGCGCCCAAAACTAAAACCCACCCCTACTCTCCGAATTATTTAGTTCTGAGCTAGGGTATAATTTGCACGCACTTCGACCTTCAGTCTTACAATCTCAAGTTCTTCATTCATTTATTTTTATTTTTATTTTTTTTTATTTTCATTATTTTTATTTTATTTTTTTTTATTTTTTTTATTTTCGACTTTAATTTTTTTTAAATTTATTTTTTTTTCTAAATTTTTTTTTATAAACTTTTCTTAATCAGCGAAAAAGCGTGGCAACAGGCCCATGCATGGACAAAAAGTCTGCCGCTAGACTGATTAAATTGGATGTAGTCGTCCTCATACCTGGTTCGTCGTGACCTATAAACTTTTAATGTTGGGCTACTATTGCATGACTGAAAAACTTTTTCGTCAGAGAAAACTATATTGCTCCAAAAATTTTTAGGTTCTTGAGAAAATAACTGATTAAACTGTAATCGACACTGTCTATTTTTTTGCACTGAAAATAGTTTACGAGCCGCTGAATGACATTTAAATCCAGTTTCCTTGATACGCCTTCGCGCAGTTCTAACTGAAGCTGGAAAACTACTCAATTCTTTGGCTCTAATTTCCGAAATAAATGGGATATGAAACGACCTCATCAAGAAGAGATTGATCATCTTATCGAATTGTTTTTCTCGGTCGTCTTCCTCGTTGTAGGTTTGTGATAGAAG